CCCGCGAAGGACGGAGAGAGAAAAAAAACAGAACAAAAGGGGGGGGGGTGGAATAAAAGGGGGGGGGGGGGGGAGCCAGTCTAGGATTTTAAAAGCAGGTAATTTAGTTTGAATATGAAAAGTTGTATGGAGCAACCTTGATGGAGCTGCCTATAAACAGGAGATCTAAAGAGGTAATCAGCACTGGATAAACACATTGCCAAGCCTGACTTGCCACCCCCCTCCCCTGCTTTCCTCTTCCCTTCAGCCTGTCAAATGGCGCAAACAAGCATAGACACTGAATGGATAAAACTTGGATGGCTCCCGACAAGGATGAAATGAGAGCTGGCAACATGTTGATTTCAATTCTGTATTCCAACAACAACCCCCCCCCAACCTCATGCATAATAATATCGGACAAAGGGACGGTTTTGTCATGGAGTGCTTGAAACTTATATGATTCAATTTTCTCACGTCGCAGAGGGGAGGGCGCAGGGAAAATGTGACATCTCTTGGCAATGATGCTGAAGCGATGGAGCATGAAACATAAATGAGCATGCTTCCATTCTACCTCTGCCTCGCTCACTAAATGAAAAGTAAAATCTCAATTACGCTCCCGAATTTATGCAATTAGAGCAGGACTCCCAAGAACACACAAGGCCGGATGATGGTGCAATGACGGGAAGCGCGTCCTTCCCGCAACACGCGTGCTCCCTGTTTTCAGAGCTGAGCAGCGCGGAGCATGCTACAAGAGGGGCGGGTGGGTGTGAATATTAATATGGGGACAAGATGCGCACGCACACCGGCTATGGGAAGAGGGACTGCGCAGCATCGATCATGCTAAGTGCGAGGCAGCTCAATATAGCAATTATTCACTGCACAGCTAAAGCCCGCTTTGGCGCGTAGGTGCTACAACTGCCAAGTGCCCGAGACACTGGTGTGCTCAGATGGATGGAAGGATTGATCTGCTCCTCTTAGTGAATGGCATCGATCCCAATGCCTAAAAGTCACTGCTGTCAAGAAATGCTAGAAGCCTTAACATTACTGGCGTGAAAGCAGCTGCCCCTTCCAGTCAAGCCCTTGAGGACTGGCACTATCTACAGCCCATCATCATAATATCCAAGTACAATAGTTGAAATGAGAGACATGGAAAGAGTAACAGCCATCGCCACTCTTTGGCTTGTCCCTCTCCATCTGAGCTAATTGATGCCCTTTGCTACTTCTGCTCTAGGAAAAATGTTTTACCCGCTGCCCCGATGTACCAGTCACTTCCATTAAACTACTGCCCTCATCTGCACTGAAAGCCAGCAGCACCTCCATTGCCATCCACATCCAGACACGTCCTTGAAACTGCACAGAGGGCCCCCCCAACACCACCTTCAAAGAGCAGCAAGAGCAAGACTGCTGTCTACACCCTGCAAGGAGGTTTGGGGGCTGTGTTGTGTCCCCCGGACAAGTCTCGGCAGGGTGGGAGATGGGGCTTTAGGAGGAATCTGGCTCCTTCAAAAGCTTTTCCCCACCCTATGGGCACACTGTACCATCCTCAGCACCTCAGATGAATTCGGAGACGCAGGCTGAGGACCACCTGAGCAGGCAGGAAGACAAGCACAAAAAGAAACAGAGCCATTAATGTGGCATGCACTTCATTTTCCAATGGCTGCATTTTTCTAGCAAAACATCGCTGCCATCTTCCATTTCACTCGGGGAGTCCGAAAGCATGGAGAAGCTGGGTAGGAAGACTTCAGGTCCTCCTTTGAGCAGAAGAGCGCACTGTTCAGATCATATCTGACGCCTTGACTCTCATAATTGAGTCAGCCGTTACAAAAATACCCAGTTCCATGAATGGGCGCCTCCCTTCGGTGTCAGAGCTGTACAATACTTGGTGGTATTGCTTTATAGTGAACTAGTGAATAGTTCTTTCAGTTTGAAACGTGACCATTTGTACTCTCTCCCCCTGCCCCCAAATGTCACGCTCTGACAAATGGATGCTCAAAGCAAAACTGCAGGGGAAGACTCCACTTTTTACCAGGATTCGAACAATAATCAGGTGAGCCTCTAAAACCAGCATAACTATGATGTGAAGTCACAGAGAAGGCCTGGAGCGAAGAGAGTCTGTCAGCCTCAATGGCTTTTTCTGGGAGTTTGATCCGAGTTTCACGTTCTTAAGAAGGTTTCAAAGGAGAAGAGTGTTGGTGCTTCCATTTGGCACAGCTCTGACCGCTTAGCTGAGGACTGCAAGCATCCAAATATACTAGGTACCAACCTATAAAATCAGAGGAATGATAAAGGCCTGATACTAAGATGCAAACCAATGTATTAGCTCATGAGGCAATCTGTTTGGATAGGCTCTTTTTTCCTTAAAACAGCTTAAGTGCTACTTATGACCAGGCCACTAAATAGATCATGCTCAGCTAAAGGATGCACGTTCTTCTGTTGCTGATCTCTCCAGGTTCAGTGCACCGTGACGGTGTTACACCGATTACTGGAAAAAAATCACCTGGAATTGGCAGCATGGACATGGGGCTCCAACAATTTGATGCTGAATGGGCATGGCCATAGCGTAGACAGAAAGTTCAGGATAAAAATCCTTCCTGTATCGAGTCATAATGTAGGCTCATTTGAAGAAAGGAGTTAGTTTTGCTGGGAGCAACAAGTATTTGCCTGGTACGTGAACTATAATATAGGACGTTATCTCTTTAAAGGTGGGGGAGGTGTTTCTACGAATGGCATCGTCCACCACATCTAGCCAGTCAGTGTTGTCCAAGGTTACGATGTCCAGGCTGAAAGAAATGCATCGCTTCTGGGAAAAGATAGGTCGTTGGTAGGGTTAAGTCGTGCGTTCGTTCTTTGGGGTTTCTGAAGCAAGCTCCACCTCTCTGCACTTGGATGGTATATGAATTGCCTACTCCAAAGAAAGTGTGTCGGGCCCAATGTTCATTCACCTTAACAAATGTCTTACAGGAAAAAAAATAAAGAAATGGTCTCAAACAGAACTTGGCAACCTGGGGCCAACAGGCCAGACCCAGCCTGCAGATGCGAGGCTTCAGCAAAGTTCAGAGGTGGGCACTTTCCCTCACACTGCTGCAGGGGTTGGGGGCACGGCAGCAGCAAGCACTTCCCCCGTGCCACGGCGGTGAGAAGCGGTAGTGGTGGCCACGTCCTGGCATCTGCCTGCCTACCTCTGACTGGAGCACGGTCGTTTTGGTCCGCAGACTGAAAAGGTGGCCGACAACTGGTCTATAAAAGAAAGGGAGGCCATGTCAACCTCATGGGCATGCTACATTTCACTAGCGTTCAAGGGGTTAAACTCGGAGGCCTCTCCCTTCATTTCTACATTTCATTCCTGAGCAAAAAGATCATTGATTTGTGCAACGTGACCCACACACTGTAACGTCTATGGGGGATGGGTTAGCATTTAAGCACTGATCAGGCCTTCCAATTTCTCTGTAGAGTCAACAGCAGTGTGGAAAAAAGGATCTTGCTTTACCCTGTTGCTTTCCTTCCCTTGTCCTCAAGAGACTATTACGTGATCTGGGTATCCTCCAGAATCAGTGACCCCAAGATTATTTCAACTCCATTCCACTAAGTTTTCCGAGTCCTTGAATTGAAGGAGGGTGCATCCGAAACCTACAGTCACATAAGGAAGCAGGACCAATGGAAACAGGTAAAGCCCAAAGAGGCTACAGGACCAGTCGTCAGTTAACCATCGCGCTTGTCAACACTGGTAGCAGTAAGCTCATGTATTGTTAACATCCACATGGTCAAGGCAGAAGGCAGGGTACAAATGCACCTTATAGATCAACTAAATCAGAGGTGCATAAGATTTGTGAGCAACAGCTCACTTCATCACATGCTGTCCCCAGCATCTCCTGAAGCGAGCTCAGCTGTATCTCAGCCTTTAAGGTGCATCTCTGTCCGGCCTTCTGCCTGTCTTCAAACTAATATTGCTAACTACCTGTCCGCACACAGTAAGGGTGGATCCTTATAGCAAGAAGGTGAATAAAAGGGGGAAGACAGGAGAGAAAGGCACCTAGGTGCCTTGGTACCTGCGATACTGCAGTGCAAAACAGGGAAGGTGCATTAGATGGTTCAGCCAAAAGTGTTTGGGCTGGCTATGAAAAGCACAAGCCTTCCCTCTCCTGTTAATTATTTTTTAAAAGAAAAGAATACTTCAGCTTAACTGCACACGAGGCTACAAACTGCATTTGTCATGCTGAGAATCTGCTGGCAGATCTGCTTTCATCTTACGAGAGATTTGACTGTTCTCAGCCCAGGGCTCCAGCATCCCAAAATGAGCTCCTCAAGCTTACAGGGGAAACAATAAGAATTAAGATCCTAATGAACAGTTGACTTTATAAATTACAGATTGAAGAATTTCCCCCAAAGGGATGGCTTCCCCCTGCCCTTCCTCCTCCTCTTTTCTCAACTCAAATGTCTTGCCACCCCCTATTCAGGAGCATCCAATTGTGATTGCTTTATTTGCCAAGGTAATTTACCTTGTCTACTGAAAGAATAGCTAAAAAAGGATGATCCTCCACTTTTTTTTCCCACGTTAATAAAGGAATTTCTTTGACGGGTCCCCTGGGGGCAACATTTTATTGAATTTAGGATTGTTTAATATGAGCTACAAGATAAAAGAGGAGCATCTAAAAGAGAAGTACAAAAAAAATCAAAGTTTCTCAGTGTGAGGAACGAAGGCAGGAGTTGAAACAGTCTCCTCTAGTTAAAAATAAGATTTCAGCCACCATTTGTTCTAAGAGATTAAATTAGGCTTTGTGATCTCCAAGAGGCTGACTTTGTCTCCAGTTAGTCCCATGCAAGCCTCTGTGAGGTTTACAGGATGCAGAATTCATTCCTAAAGTATAAAGGGACAATTGACTGGCCACATGCTATACCTTAACAAAAGTGATGTTGGCAGTGATCCCAAGGCAGGCAAGTGCTTCACCACACCAAGAAACTTTAAACGTATAAGCGGGTTCCAGGGACTTCAAGGATGCAGCAAACATGAACCTACTCACATACTTGAAATCCTCCAAGTACTAGTCGATTTGTAGGTCTGGGGCACGTGGATCTGGTACTAGAGGCGAGCACTCCCAAAGTGGTGGGAACTTTCAGCTGCAGGTCTCTTCTGAGACACTCTCTTCTCATTCCCATCTGGACTCCAGGGGCTCTGTGCTCATGCATATCCATGCATACATGTCAAGAGAAGGCATTTGCTGAGCTGCCAGATCATAGCATGTAGAAGACATAGATTTAAAAACAAGAGCACTAAAAGCAGGGAAGAGGGAAGTAAGAGCCTATCCTCTCCCCTGTTTGCAGAGTGGAGACTTCATTGCTGGGGGGAGGTGGGGGGGGGGGGG